ACACACACACACACACACACACACACACTCTGCATAAGTTTGACTTTAAACAAACATAACTGTGCCTCCTGACTCCACCCACTGTGTGACCTCGCAGACGCTGCAGAAGGAGATCCAGGGTCACCAGCCTCGCTACGACGACATCTTCGAGCGCAGCCAACACATCCTGAGGGAGGACGGCGCCACGGCCCAGCTGATCCGCCAGCGGCTCGCCGGGCTCCAGTCGCTGTGGGAGCAGATCAGGAAGGAGACGGAGAAACGCCACGCCCGCCTCAGCGAAGCCCACGAGGCCCAGCAGTACTACTTCGACGCGGCCGAGGCCGAGGCCTGGATGAGCGAGCAGGAGCTGTACATGATGTCGGAGGAGAAGGCCAAGGTGAGGGCGGGGTTTAATTCATCATCAGGACGTTGAAAAGAAGACGAGCGTGTTGAATCTGGTTAAAGAAGATTATTACTACATTAAGATGGAGTCTCCTGATCGCCCCCTGGTGGCTGGATGCTCCTCCATGTTAGCAAAGATGTTTCTGTCATTTCAGCTCGTTCTTATCGCTCTGATGTTTAATTAGTTAATGATATGAGGCTGAGATGATTGACAGCTGACACTGACTCCTGATTGGTGGAGAGTGACAGAAACTGACGATCGAGGTTTAAACTTCCTGTGTCTTGGTTTTGGTTCCGTTCACATGTCACTTCCTCAGACTGAGTTTAATCAGTTGTTCGGCTGCAGGTCAGTTTAACCTCAGTACTCTCTGATGTTTATTCACTGTATGAAAACCGTTTTTATTACATACGTGTTGATATGTTTCGGGTCTTTAATGTGTAGAGTCTGTAAATCTGCTCTCGTTGATCCGTCATGTGACCATGAATCTGCTGCTGCTCCGGGTGATTCTGTTTCGGTGAAATGAAATGTACGAGTGAAAGTGAATCTCTTGTGTCTCGTAGGACGAGCAGAGTTCTGTGGCCATGCTGAAGAAGCACCAGATCCTGGAGCAGGCAGTGGAGGATTACGCCGACACCGTCCACCTGCTGTCCAGCACCAGCCGGGGCCTGGTGGGCGCCGAACACCCCGACAGGTGAGGGCGGGTCAAAAGGTCAGGGGTCACGTGTTTCTAAATCGTGCAGGGAGAAAGAAAGAAGAGGAGGTATTAGAAAAGAGAGGATAAGATATGAGACAAAGAAGATTGGGATTAGAACGGATTAAAATAAGAAAGAGAAGGAATCAGAATTCATTCGTGTCGTCTCTTCCTGCAGCGAGCGCATCGGCATGCGTCAGTCTCAGGTGGATAAACTCTACGCCGGCCTGAAGGATCTGTCAGAGGAGCGTCGGGGGAAACTGGACGAGCGTTTCCGTCTGTTCCAGCTCAACAGAGAAGTGGACGACCTGGAGCAGTGGATCGCTGAGAGGGAGGTGGTGGCCGGATCCCACGAGCTGGGACAGGACTACGAGCACGTCACCGTCAGTAACTCACACGTCTGCATTTCACTCTGTGTGATGTTTCATCTGTGGAAGCAGAGAAAAATAAAAAACGTAGAATGTGATGATTTAATGTATCAACACTTTAATCCGATGTCTTTCCTCCATCAGATGCTTCAGGAACGTTTCAGAGAATTCGCCCGTGACACCGGGAACATCGGCCAGGAGCGCGTGGATACCGTCAACCGCCAGGCGGACGAGCTGATCAACACGGGCCACGGCGACGCCGCCACCATCGCCGAGTGGAAGGACGGCCTGAACGAGGCCTGGGCCGACCTGCTGGAGCTCATCGACACCCGCACGCAGATCCTCGCTGCCTCCTACGAGCTCCACAAGTTCTACCACGACGCCAAGGAGATCCTCAACCGCATCCTGGACAAACACAAGAAGCTGCCGGAGGAGCTCGGCCGCGACCAGAACACAGTGGAGACGCTGCAGAGGATGCACACCACCTTCGAACACGATATCCAGGCTCTGGGGACTCAGGTGCAGTTTGATTTCACAGTTTCACTCACGAGAGGAAACGCCACGAAAGAAGTGAAAACTATCGACTGATGCAAAAACTCTTATGAGTGTGTGACTCTCAATTCTCTTTTAGTCGTAAACTCTTGAGTGAAACCTAAAATTAAAAACGTCATATTTGAAGAATGGAGGACGTCCCCCTGGAGCTCATGTCCCTCTGTGTGACACCTTCTCTCCTCTTGCTTCAGGTGCGGCAGCTGCAGGAGGACGCGGTTCGTCTGCAGTCGGCGTACGCTGGAGACAAAGCTGACGACATCCAGAAGAGAGAGGGGGAGGTGAGCGATGGTGTTCAAACATAAAGCTCGTCAGGCTGGACTCAGTTTACTTTCTCCTCAGACACAACAAGAACTGAGCACGTGATTCTAAACGTAGAAAACCTTGTTTTGCTGATTGAACTTTCAACCCAGCGTCTGATGTTAATGGAGTCAGTGAGAACGGCCTCTGCCTCATGCATGCTGCACCGCTGCTGCACTAACTCCGCACCGTCCCTCTGCTGCTGCAGACGTTTGAAAACACGACCGATCGATCAGTTGGGAAAGATTCATAAACAACCAGATGTTGAACGTGTAGAGACGTTTTTCACATCTGCAGTTAATCAAGTAATTTGATCTGTAAGCTTTTCCACATTAACGCAGTAGAGTGTTACAGGGCATGGTCAAAATAAAAGAACTGTTAATGAACCACGTTTAAAAGACACATTCGTGCTGAACAGGCTTCGAATATGAAAACAGAATAATCTGAGAATAAACAGAAAATACAAAGGTACAGAAATATTGATTTTCTTTTGAATATTGAGTTTTACTGATGCTGTTTATTCATGTTCTGCTTTATTGATCCTTAGAAACTAAACTGAACTGAACTAAACCAGCTTCTCTGGACAAAAGATCATTTCTCTTTTTATTTGCTGTAAATCGTCAAATGTGACTTTGATTTGCTTTTAATATTTAAAGCTGGTCTTTTATTTTTTTTAATCTTTGACTGTTAAAGGTGAATTTTCTACAGTGTCATCTAATGAGTTTTATTCATTTATTAATATATTATAATATTCTGGAGAGAACTGATCATCAAATGTTTCCTCAGACACAAAATGTAAAATTCAGTGTTCAGGCTGAAACTGAAGCGAAAAGACTCGTGGAGCTGAAAGTCGTCGTTAATGTTTGTCTGTGATCACGTCCTCTGCAGACGAGCGTTCTCAAATATTCATACAAAGAGTAAATGTTGTTCTGAGTCATGAAAGAACCTGAAAACTCAGAACGACTTTAAAAATGTTGGTGAACAGCAACGACCTCAGAACCGAGGAGGAGTTTCAGCCGGCGTCTCCTGTGGACTGAGGTGACTGTTGGGAAGTGTTTTTGATGGCGTTGTGTTTTGACCATTCCCTGTATGTTTCCTTCACATCCTCTGTCCACCCAGAAGAGAGAGGGAGAGGTGAGACTCTGTTTACCAGAAACATCGGCTTTGCATCAGGCTTCATTTTGGCTGCAGTTCTTTTGACACTCAGACTAAAATGTTTAATTCTAGTGACATTTTAGTGGTTTTCATGCAGACGAGTTTCGGCCCCGTGCACAGGCAGAAACTGCTGGTTTGCAAAGACTTGTAGTTTTTTTTTTTTTTTCTTCACTTGTGCATTTGGATTTTTTGCACAGAAACAAAAACTAAACTCTAACTCAGTTTATCTGATTGACAGTTTCCCTGCAGGATAAACTGTAAACTCCACCCAGCCGAGCCTCTGAGGAGGAGAAATCAAATGCTACTGGTAGTTTGCAAATTCAGTTTGGGTCTGATCAGTAAGTGAAGAAGAAATGGAATCATTTAGATCCCGCTCTACTCAGATTGCGGTGCAATCCAATGCTTCTGTTCACATTTGCTTAAGTGTAGTTGCTTGTTAGCTGCTGCGGAGTCGCTGCTTGCAGTCGTCTGTTCCCATCGTCTCTGCGAGCAGCAGCGTCAGACGGGTCTGGACGGAATGTCACTGAAGACGGAGCCCAAAGATTCCGTGCATCGTGTTTTCATTCTGTTTTTTCAAAATGTCTGCAAACGTCTTGGTACAAAGAGGAAAGATCACATGAAGTCAGCTGCTTTGTTAACATGTGGTTGTTCAGTGTGGAGCTTGACTTTCGTCCGTACGTTTGAATCAGACACACACCAGGAATGTGTGCACTCACACAAACAGACACACAACGAACCACAGACCAGAAACAAACTACATGAAGTTCAAGGTGTAGCTGTGATTCTGACCAGAGGAGCAGCGTTGCTCCGTCACTTATTTGGTTCTGGATCAAATATGGACGAAAATAAAAAGTCTGTATCTTAAATCCCAGATGTAAAAACAGTTGTGTTGTTATAAAAGCAGCTCACTGGCGCCCCCTGTTGGTGCTTCTCCATCTGAGATCTGCTCATATGTTTGTGCTTTTATTTTATTTTTGAGCTTTTATGTTTTTATTCCCCCCCCCCCTCTCCAGTGATAAACTCAAATTATAAAATTCTATCACAGTCAACATTTGTATTTATCATTAATAAATATTCCTTTTGATCATAAAACATTTTGCCGCTCTTCACGTTCTGCTGATTAAAGTGAATCTCGATTCACAGATGATTCTCCTGGTGGAGTTTTTCTTCAGTGAGATCCGTTCACACTGACTCTGGATCGAGTGAGAGTGAGGAGAGCGTCTGTTGTCAGGTTGTGATGTCGCTGTTCCTCTGGTCTGACTCTTGGCTGCTGTCTCGTTCTCGCTCAGGTCCTGGAGGCCTGGAAGAACCTGCTGGAGGCGGCGGAGGGCCGGAGGCTGAAGCTGGTCGACACCGCAGACAAGTTCCGCTTCTTCAGCATGGTGCGGGACCTGATGCTGTGGATGGAGGACGTCATCCGTCTGATCGAGGCTCAGGAGAAACCCAGGTACGAGACGCAGAGCGAACCAGCGGGTTCCACCTCGTCTCATGGAGACGTTAATAAATCCGCTGGTCCGAAGTAATAAATAAAAAACATTTAACGTGTGACTGTGACAGAGTTTATAGATTATTTGAATCCTGTGTGAATGTTTCTCATCCTCAACAACCAGATTATCAAACGTAATAAAGAAATAGATTTTTAATATTGAAGTTGTGTTTTTATTTGAGGATGAGTTTCCTTCACGTGGTTTGTGGGTGTGTCTGTTTTCAGGGACGTGTCGTCGGTGGAGCTGCTGATGAACAACCATCAGGGCATCAAGGCGGAGATCGACGCCCGAAACGACAGCTTCACTTCCTGCATCGAGCTGGGCAAGGCGCTGCTGGCCAGGAAGCACTACGCTTCAGAGGAGGTGGAGACACGGACGCTTTCTGTTTAACTCGCGGAGAATCAACGAGCGTGAACTTTAAAATCATCTTTCTCTCCTCAGATCAAAGAGAAGCTGTTACAGTTGACTGACAAGAGGAAAGATATGATTGACAAGTGGGAGGACAGATGGGAGTGGCTGAGACTGGGTATGATGCTTCGTCCAATCAAACATGAAATGGTGTGTGGCCGAATGAATCTAACGTGTGTGTGTGTGTGTGTGTGTGTGTGTGTGTGTGCGTTCAGTCCTGGAGGTGCACCAGTTCTCCCGGGATGCCGGCGTGGCGGAGGCGTGGCTGCTGGGTCAGGAGCCGTACCTGTCCAGCAGGGAGATGGGACAGAGCGTGGACGAGGTGGAGAAACTCATCAAACGCCACGAGGCCTTCGAGAAGTCTGCCGCCACCTGGGAGGAACGCTTTTCTGCTCTGGAGCGGCTGACCACGGTGAGGCCGCCGCCCGACGCCATGTGGAGCTGGATTCAGAGTCAGGGCAGGAAATGAAACCACTGTGTGTGTGTGTGTGTGTGTGTGCGCAGATGGAGTTACTGGAAGTGAGAAGAAGGCAAGAGGAGGAAGAGAGGAGGAGACAACCCCCGCCCACTGAGGCTCAGACCGCCGACGCTGTGGCACAGCAGAGGTGAGTGTGTGTGTGTGTGTGTGTGTGTGTGTTTA